GTTATACAGGGTGTGCATTGTGTTCCCCCCATTCCTCTATATACAGCTGTGATGAAATGTTTGCATACCCTGGCAGAAATGGTGAAATTCCGGTATGGATATTGAAAATACAACTGATCATGCCAATGGATAATGATCCTATGAAGCCATTTTCTATCACATTGTTGTTTGGCTCCTTTTTAAATCATATTGATAACAGAAATCACCCAAATGGCCATGATCAAAAGCTTCCATCCCCTGGAATGTCCAGCCTTGGTACAGACACACAAGGTGACACACACAGCTTAAAATGGCATTTAGAGGTTCATTTTCCACATCTGTGGCTTTATAAATTGCAATTATGTATAAATAGTCAATGAGTTTGTTAGCTCTCACGTGGATGCACTGAGCAGGCTAGATACTGAGCCATGGGGAGCAGAAAAGAACTATCAAAAGACCTGCATAATAAAGTAATGGAACTTTATAAAAATGGAAAAGACTATAGAAAGATATCCAAAGCCTTGACTATGCCAGTCAGTACTGTGCAATCACTGATTAAGAAGTGGAAGGTTCAGGGATCTCTTGATACAAAACCAAGGTCAGGTAGGCCAAGAAATATTGCAGCCACACCTGCCAAAAAAATTGTTCAGGATACAAAGAAAACCCTCAGGTAAGCTCAGGAGAAACACACAGGCTGCTCTGGAAAAGGACAATGTGGTTGCTTCAAGGAATGCAATACGATGATATTTGAACAACAATTAGCTGCATGGTCGAGTTGCCAGTAAGAGGGCTTTATTGCACCAATGCCACAAAAAACCCAGGTACAATATGCCCGACAACACCCTGACACGCCTGACAGCTTCTGGCACACTGTAATCTGGAGTGATGATCCCAAAATAGAGCTTTTGGTCACAACTACAAGTGCTATGTTTGGAGAGAGGTCAACAAGGCCTATAGCAACAAGAATACCATCCCCACTGTGAAGCATGGTGGGGGCTTACTGATGTTTTGGGGGGGGGTGTTAGCTCTAAAAGTGCAGGGAATCTTGTGAAAATTGATGGCAAGATGAATGTAGCATGTTATCAAAAAAACACTGGCAGACAATTTGCATTCTTCTGCACGGAGGTTGTGCATGGGACGCTCTTGGAACTTCCAGTACGACAATGACCCTAAACCAAGGCCATGTTGACGCTCCAGTGGTTACAGCAGAAAAAGGTGAAGGTTCTGGAGTGGCTATCACAGTCTCCTGACTTTAATATCATCGATCCACTCTGGGGAAATCTCAAATGTGCGGTTCATGCAAGACGACCAAAGACTTTGCATGCCCTGGAGGCATTGTGCCGAGACAAACGGGCAGCTATACCACCTGCAAGAATTCGGGGCCTCATAGACAACTATTACAGAAGATTGCAGACTGTCATTGATGCCAAAGGGGGCAATACACAGGTTTAAGAACTAAGGGTATGCAGACTTTTCAGGGGGCATTTCATTTGTTTACTTGCTGCCAGGTTTTGTTTTATGATTGTGCCATTCTGTTATGGCCAGGGGTGGACTGACCATTGGGGAACTAGGGCACTGCCCGAGGGCCCAGGATCAGTAGGGGGCCCCATGAGATGTCCCTGGTACTTTTCATAGGCTTTTTTGGGTGTGGTTTGAGTGTGAGCGAGGACACAGGGGCCCCATGATCCCCTATTGCTCGGGTGCCCCATGAGTTGTCAGTCCACCCCTGGTTATGGCCTACAGTTACAGAACATGAATCCCATAAGAGACATAAGAAATGTGTTTTGCCGGCTCTCACTCATGTTTTCTTTAAAAATGGAACAAACTTTTTTCTAAGAGTATGCAAACTTTTGAGCACAACTGTACACACAAGTGGAAAACTGAACGCTAAAACCGCCATGGAGCAACATCGCTACTTTTACCCCTCGAGGAAGCTTGTCCTACTTTCATTAACAGCTTGCCGCCCTGCCACTGTATATATACGTGTGCAGGGCGGCACTCAGGTGCAAAACCACGTTTTAAAACGGGTTCCGCGCTCCCGCCGTTCTCACCGGGCAGGGGGCGCGCGCGTGCGCTCCTGCCGACCCGCGGGTGACACCATTCGATCCCGGAGGGATCAATCATTAGATTTCAGCCAGTGATGTCTGGCTGAAATCAGATGATCGGTCCCTGTCCTATCCTGTCCTGTGTTGACATTTACACAGGACAGGATATGATGTCATTCTTCTCTGCCTGGACACATTCCGTTCCAGACAGAGAAGAAGACACAGTAAAAGTGAGTACAAAGCACTACACTAACAGTTAGAACACACCTAGGTCACATTTAACCCCCTGATCGCCCCCCCCCCAGTTAACCCCTTCACTGCCCTGTCACCAGTGTCACTGATCAGTGAAGCGATTTTTACTGATCACTGTATCAGTGTCGCTGGTGACTTCCGATAGAGTTAGCGCCCCTCCCAGATAGCGCCAGTTTGCCCGCCAGTACACCAGTAATCCCATTTAACCCCTTGATCGCCCCCCCAGTTAACCCCTTCACTGCCCTGTCACCAGTGTCACTGATCAGTGAACCGATTTTTACTGATCACTGTATCAGTGTCGCTTGCGACTTCCGATAGTGTTAGCGCCCCTCCCAGATAGCGCCAGATTGCCCGCTAGTACACCAGTAATCCCATTTAACCCCTTAATCTCCCCCCCCCAGTTAACCCCTTCACTGCCCTGTCACCAGTGTCACTGATCAGTGAACCGATTTTTACTGATCACTGTATCAGTGTCGCTGGCGACTTCCGATAGTGTTAGCGCCCCTCCCAGATAGCGCCAGATTGCCCGCTAATACACCAATAATCCCGTCTAACCCCTTGATCGCCCCCCCCCCCCCTGGGTTGACCCCTTCACTGCCCTGTCACCAGTGTCATTGATCAGTGAACAGATTTTTACTGATCACTGTATCAGTGTCGCTGGCGACTTCCGATAGTGTTAGCTCCCCTCTCAGATAGCGCCAGTTTGCCCATTAGTGCACCAGAAATCCCATTTAACCCCTTGATCTCCCCTCCCCAGTTAACCCCTTCACTGCCCTGTCATCAGTGTCATTGATTACAGTGAACAGATTTTTACTGATCACTGTATTAGTGTCACTGGTGACTTCCGATAGTGTTAGCGCCCCTCCCAGATAGCGCCAGTTTGCCCGCTAATGCACAGAATTTTTTTTACCAAAAACATGTAGCAGAATACATTTTGGCTTAAATTTATGACTAACTTTGAGTTTACGATATATTTTTTATAGCTGAAATTAGAAAATATAGTTTTTTTTCAAAATTTTCGTGGTTTTTTTGTTTATAGCGCAAAAAAATAAAAAGCGCACAGGTGATAAAATACCACCAAAAGAAAGCTCTATTTGTGTGAAAAAAGGACGTAAATTTTGTTTGGGTACAGCATTGCGCAATTATCATTTGAATTAGTGCAGCACCAAACAGCAAAAAAAGGCCTGGTCATTAAGGGGGGTAAATCCTCAGGTGCTCAAGTGGTTAAATGGTCAGCAAGCTCAAACATAAACATTCTGGATATGAATGGATGCCGTGCTATTGAAAATATAGCTTAAAATGGTCTTAAACCTGTATTCCTAAAATGACTAGGAATAGGTTCACACTTATGCGTTTTCTGCAGAAACGCACTACAGTCCATTTAACATGATATCCTATGGGACAGGTTCACATCTCCGCGTTTTCACCCGGTTTGTTTTCTGGAAAGGGTCAGGGACTTTTTTTAACTCAAAAAGTTGCATTTTTAGTTTTATAGACTTCAATGGAAATACTGCAAAAAAGCATGTAATGCATTTTTGGTGCATTTTCAATGTGTGTTTTCTGCATTTTTGATGCGTTTTAAATCTGCCTAGCAACAAGAAAAAAAAAAAAGTAAAACGCATCAAAAATGCATCAAAAACACGTAAAAAATCGCAACGCAAAATGTAATGCAAAAATGGATCAAACGCAAACTGCATAGGTGTGAACCTAGACTTATGGCCCATTCACCAGAGGGTTGGAGTCACCCGCTGCGGTAACACGTGGTGTCACCCCTCCAGAGAGGAAGGAGCGGTGCCGGTGTAGCTGTAAAATAGTATCCCGTGAAGATATGTATCCCCTGAAGCAACTGCGCAGGTTTCAGGCCGAAGAGGATGATCTTTGACTTTAGCACAGAGCTGCCACAGTTAACCCCTTACAGACTGCAAACCGCTGAAGCTGATCCCGCGGATCACTATGGGTTGCAAGATCAGTTCAACCTATACGGGGTTAACTGATCTTGCAAGTCCTAGTGATCCACGGGATCAGCTTCAGCGGATTGCAGCCTGTAAGGGGTTAACTGTGGCAGCTCTGTGCTAAAGTCGGAGATCGGCGATCGGCTTCTTTGGCCTGAAACCTGCGCATGCACAATTTCTTCAGAGGATACATATCTTCAGGGGATACTCATTTTAATTCTACACCGGGGGCATCTGGGATCACCCCAATAACTGTCCAGGACTTTCACAGAGCCCAGAAGCTCTGCTGGCATCCAGCTCCTGCACCCCCTGTGATGGTGTCACCCAGTGCGATCCGCACCCCCTGCACCCCCCTAGGGACGCCACTGCCATTCACACCAGGTACAGTGGGGCTGCACCCAGCAGCTATTCCTTTACAGTACCACTGCAATTCAAGGTAAATGCCTTGTATCCTACCAGACCAGTTCACACCATCATGTTTGGTGGTTGGCATGCAGTACTTTTTTCCAGTGCAGTGCAGTGAGATGCAATCCATCACCTCGCTCCGCCCTGCACCCAGTAGGGCCTATTGAAATGTCAGTTTGTGCCATGTCAATACAGTTTACTTTAGGCCAAGGTTCACATGTGAAGCGCACAGGAATCACAATATGCAAATCACATGCGATTCTGCGCAGTGCGATTCTGCGTCCATTCATTCTGAATGGCTCAAATCGAACCTCATCCACATCAAAAAGGTGCGGCCAGCTTTTTCTTTTATTCGCACTGGAAAAGGATTGCATGGGTGTCTATACCCATGTGATCCAGTTCAGGCAAACGCACTGCGTTTATGATCTGCTTTTGGGGAATCGTTAACTTTCCATTGGCACCCGCAGAGAGCACAGTGTGATTGCTATGCGGTGCGGGCAGGGGCAGACTGACCATTCAAGTACTCGGGCACCGCCCGAGGGCCCAGGGTCAGTAGGGGGCCCCATGAAATGCCCCTGGTACCTTTTTATAGGCTTCTTTGGGTGTGCTTTGAGTGTGGGCAAGGACACAGGGGTCCCATGATCCCCTATTGCCCGGGGGCCCAATGAGTTGTCAGTCTGCCCCTGGTTGTGGGAAACGCACAGGAATGATGTCATCGGTTGGTAAGGATGGCATTGGGCGCATGCACAATATCCCTGTTTGCCTCTTTCCTGCCTCTCTCCATCAGCACTGGGGTCACATTAGCTGAGTAAGGGAAAAAAGGGAGGGAGAAGAGAAACATTGGGGTACTAGTCTGTACCAGAGTGCAAAGGTGTATTTGCTTTGGAAGAATAAATCATTTCTAGCATTGGGTGTCCTACGTCTGTAGATGTTGCTGTGTTATATAAAACTATTCATTTAGTTTTTTACATTTTAGAATAGGGTGTCCCGGGATGCATAATTGTAAAGGGTGCCTTGGCTAAAAAAAAGGTTGATAAAACTATTTTCTTGATTGCTTATGCAGACTCAGTGATTCTTCTGATCCAGCAATCCACTTCCCTGCACAGAATCACACAGGAAAGCTTCCTGAGTCCATTCAAGGTTCTCATTCTTACCTGAAGCCCTGATGAAGGGGGAGTTCTTTGACCCCCATAACGCATTGGCTGTTTTATATCAAAGTACCAAGACATGAATTTGGACTCTTATCTTCTGGTCTGGCGCTTCTTCCATGTATGCATGTTTTTCAGGCACAATGATGATGTCACTACTACATTTACAAGGTGATATCTGGGTTTGCAAAGGCATTCATAGTACACAAAGTGGATTTATCTGCTTAAGTGGTTAACAGTACAGTGGCTAAGTGGGCATTGGATAAGTACTCTGATTTACATAAAAGACAGAAAAAATATCTTATTAAATGTTTAACATTTTGTCTTAAACACAATTTCTTTTGGTACAATAACAAATATTTTTTGCAAGTCAAAGGAGTAGCAATGGGGGCACGTTTTGCCCCGAGCATAGCAAATCTATATATGGCACAATGGGAGGAAGACACTATTTATAAAAATCCAAAACAAGAGCTTATAGCATACCATCGCTTTATAGATGACATCATTCTAGTATGGAGAGGAGATGATATATCACTAGAGCAATTCTATATGGAATTAAATAACAATCACAATAATATAACACTTAGCTGGAATAGCAGTGATACAATAATTAATTTCTTAGATATATGGTTAGTTAAAGAAGGATCATCTATCTCTACAAAGAATTACTTTAAAAACACTGATAGAAATTCGTATATACCTACCCATAGTTGCCATCATAAGGCATGGATTAAGAATATACCTAGAGGTCAGTTCACAAGACTGAGACGGAATTGTACACATGATAGGGACTATCAGGAACAGAGTGACATCCTTGTAAAGAGATTTATCAGTAAAGGGTATAAAAAAGAGTATATAGATGAAGAAAGAGACAGGGTAGGTGCATTGTTGGATAGAAGTAAATTACTAATAAAAAGTCATGATAATACTAATATGGATAATGCTACGAGTATCATAATGCCTTATAATAAACAATATAAAGATGTGCAAAAAATAATTAAAAAACATTGGGATATATTGAAACTGGACAAAGATTTGAAAGATAGCATTCCGGATAACCCAAGATTCATTTACAAAAAAGCTCCCAACATTAGAGATAAGGTAGTAAAGAATATATTAGATCCCCCCAAACAAAATTCACTCTCATTTTTTCAGGGAATTGGTTTTTATAAATGTGGAAGATGCTATAGTTGTATTAGAACAAAGAATAACCCCAGGAATAGATTGAATTTCACTAATCCAATAAGTGGAAAAATATTTAAGATAAATCAATTTATAACATGTAACACTAAGGGGGTAATATATGCATTAAAATGTCCGTGTAACAAAATCTACATAGGAAGAACAAAACGCATGCTAAAAGAAAGAATAAAGGAGCATGTTAGAAATATTTTTAAAAGGATATAAATATCATAATGTATCATTACATTTTAAATTACACCATGGCCAGAAAACAGAAGGATTAGAATTTTGGGGAATAGATAAGCATAAGGCACATTGGAGAGGGGATAACCTTGTCAGAGAAATTAGTAAAAAAGAATCCCAGTGGATTTATCAAATGAATTCTTTGCACCCGCTGGGATTAAATAAGGAATTTGACTTAGCTTGTTTCCTGAGTGATTATTGATATTAATATGAATTAAGGAGTATAATAATATATTTCTTATATAGAGTAAATTAATATGGGGAAATATAGATGTGTTTACGTTCAAAACGTCAATTAAAGAATAGTATATAATAAATAATTTTTAAGGAAAGGTTGATGCTTTTTTAGCATTTTTTTAATATAATATATAATTTTTGTACCGCTGAATATTGAAATATTTTAGTAATAGGTTCATTTTCCATTTTTATTTAATTTTTATTATTTTTATTATTTTTATTTTTATTTTTATTTCATTTTTGTATTTTATTCTTCATGTTTATTTTTCATTTTTTATTTATTATTATTTTTTATTTTTTTTATTTTTATTTATATTTATATTTATATTTATTTTTATTTTTATTTTTATTTTTATTTTTATTTTTATTGTTATTTTTAGCTTTATTTTCATTTTCATAGTTATTTTTATTTTATTTTTATTTTTATTTTCATTTTTATTTTATTTTTTATACTTTGGCTTATTATCAAATTAGTTATTGTCATATTCATTTTAAGGTTATTTCTATTAAAAATGTTTATAAATGAATTAAAATGTTTATTATGGAGATATGGTATGTAAATTGTGGACATTATAGTAATGATTATCATTATCTTTATGGCGATGTAAAAGTAGGAGTTTGCAATCCCAATTGTGAAAGGTGTGTGTGGAAGCATTCGATATGCAGCCGGAGGATGAAGAGGCGCACTATTAATATATATTATATTGCTATCATTGTGGTCTAATTTGGACTCCTTGAATATGGAGTGGGCACCAAGAACGATTAAATCATACCAAAAATGGCGTCGGTAGGATATATATAACCTTCGGTGCAGGATGACATCTAAAACTACATCCCCCAGAGGAAGCTACGAGTCCCTGTAGCGTAACGCGTAGGGGAGGGGCGGTGACGTCATCACGCATCCACAGAGGAAACGGCGAGTATAGCGAGTGAACACACACACACCTGCAGGGCTGTTTGCAGGAGGACCTGGATTTATTTACACAAAGCGTTACTTTTGCTGATACCATGTGAGTGGGAGATCAGAAGCTCATTAAACAATTTTACTAAGGATAAGACACTATGTTTCTTTTTCCCTTTTTTTTATGTATGCATCGTTTATGGAGGAATAAGCCAAGCAGATAGAGGAGAAAGTCCTAATTGAGAAAAGCTGAATTGAGGAGAAAGGAGAGGAGGAAGGAGAGAGAGGTTCATGCCATGAACATAGACTTACCACGCCAGTCAGATTGATTCACATTACCATCTCAATTCGTATGAACTGAACTATTATTAATTCATACAAAATTTTCTTCCAGTTTATTTTATTTTATTTATTTATTTATTTTATTTTTTTTTAAATAGTTTTTCAGGCACGAAGTTTTTTATGTATTGATTTACAATATTAATTGAATTTTTTCACTTCTATCATGGATTCAAGTATTATGCAAATATGAATTTAAGTATTATGGATATAGATTATTATTGAATTTTTAGTTATATATAATTATTTATTTATTTATTTAGAGCACTTAGATTTATTAATTTTGGAGCGCGGTACAATATAGATATATGAAATTAACATCCATACACCTGGAGAGGGTGTAAAAAGTACCTGGCGATCTAAATATTTATTATTTAATTAAGCACGGTTATTGATTTATTAGTTGTTCACTTGATTCATAAATTCAATATTATTAGTAATTTTATACACAGAATTTATTGCTCTATAAGTAAGAAAACTTCTAGTGGCTCACAAGTATTTTATTAATTGGCTAAGTGGTTAGCACGTCAACCTGGCAGCACCGGGGTTGTTGGTTTAAATCCCAACCATGGCACTACCTGCCTGGAGCTGAATGTTCTCCCTGTGCCTGTGTGGGTTTCCTCTAGGTTCTCTGGTTTCCTTCCACACTCCAAAAACATGCTGTTAGGTTAAATAGCTCCTGTCTGACTTTGACCTAGTATGTACGATTGTGCATTAGGGACTTTAGATTGCAAGCTCCTTGAGAGTAGGGACTGATGTGAATGTGTAATCAATATGTAAAAGCTCTGCGTAAATTTTACGGTGCTATATAAGTACCTGGAATAAGTACATATTTAAATGAAAGTTTCTGTGCCTGGAGTTGAGCTTTAGGAGGCTTCTTCATGTCTAAACCGCTTTTCTTTATCAAAGAAATCAATGTGAATGCAAAAACAAGTCAGAGGCAGTTCACAGCAAGTCCTCCACCACTGCACAGGCAAGCCGGAACAGACTCCATGAGAGAAATTCCTTCTTCAGCGTCCTTCCATCTAAAATAATAGTTAAGGCCGGACTTTGGCTAGTGTGAATTATTGATGACAGGCAGCAGATCTTTATAAATGGAAGAAGTCTGTTTAATAGGTTATTTTCTCCTTGAGTGAAATTCAATATTTGGTGGGGAGAGTTGTAGTGATGTGCGGTGGACAGCCGAAGGAGTGGGAATTCCTTACTTACGACTGAATACAGAATGTAATAACCTCTTGTAACAGCGGAAAGAACAAAAGTCTCGGGATGATAAAGGAATGGTAGTGATGCTTTCCTTGTCTATTCACTCACACTTCTCAAAGCATGGAGCCGGTGGTGGCCATAGACATTTTCAATGCCGGTGCTGTGCTAATTAATGGAGGAGTGGGCTGCCTGGCCCCTCCACCCCATGACTGCACTGGAGGCACAATGAAATATCCTT